CATGTCAGTGGGCATCGAAGCCTAGTTCAACCCAACCAGCCCGACTATCTAGCCCACATACATGCTGTTGGGTGCCCTTCTGTCTAGCCACCCCAACTCCTGTCCTGGTTTTCGTGCCCTCCAGTGGGAGTGGTAATCGAAGAGGGAGGCTATTTCCTTTCTATGCCACCATTTCCTTTCTATGCCACTATTTCCTTTCTGTGCCACTCCCATTCCCGGATTATGCACTCTCCAGGTGGTTCTGCAGTTTAACTTGACAGAATTAGCCCCCAATGCCAGCTTCTGCCAGCTGATGCTGCAGCAAAGCCGAAGCTACCCTCACCTGCTCTGTTTTATGTTTGCATCAGTAGGAACAATCAGCCTAGCCTTCCTTTTCCCTGATCTAGCCCACATGAAGCCCACAGGTGTTGTAGCCCTGCCTAGTCTGGTCTGTCCCCATCCCAGCTCACTTGCTCTCTCCAGTGGGAGTAACTGTCCTGCAGGGGAGCACCCCCACATTCCCCCTGCCGGCTTCGCCCCTTCCCTCCTTGGTTCTCATGTGTGCTGGTTGGGTGCTGTGGTCACATCCTGTACATGTCACTTCACCTTGGCATTCCATAATGTGCACTGGTGTTTTGTGGCGACCAAACCTGGCTCGACCCACACTCTGTTCTGCTGCTCGGATTCACCAGTGGGTGATATGAACTGGTTCAGCCTGGTCTGCCCCTGACCCATGCCAAATGTATGCCGGTGTGATACTTTCTGTGGCCTATTCTGGAACCCATGTTTTTTTATTTGATCTTGGTTTTATAGTGTTATCCAGCCCCTTCAGGAGCAAAGTGTCTGCAGTATGCTACTGCTGCATAGCCTGCTATTCCTCTGTTTAGATGTGCTGTTATCTCTTTTCTTATCAGTAACACTGGTTATGTATACATTCACATGTCTGTGTATTTTAAGGAAGCAATCATCCTACTGCTTTCATAAATTATATTCATATCAGGCCCGGCGTAGTAGCCTAGTGGCTAAAGTCCTCGCCTTCCATACGCTGTGATCCCATCCGTGCACTAGTTCATGTCCCGGCTTCTCTGCTTCCCATCCAGCTCCCTGCTTGTGGCCTGAGAAAGCAGAAGGGGATTGCCCAAAGTCTTGGGACCCTGCACCCATTGGGAAACCTGAAGAAGCTCTTGGTTCCTGGCTTCAGATCAGCTCAGTTCTGGCTGTTACAGCCACTTGGAGAGCGAACCAGCAGATGGAAGATCTTTCTCTGCATCTCTCCTTCTCTGTGTAAATCTGATTTTCCAATTAAATATATATATACACACACATATATATTTGCCCGTCTGCTTGCTGGTTCACTCCCCAAATACCCACCATATTCATGTCTGGACCAGGCCAAAACCAGGAGCCAGGAACTTACTCCAGTTGTCATCTGTCATTAGGGACCCAAATACTTGAACCAGCAGCTACTGCTATTCATATATATATATATGTGTGTGTGTGTGTGTGTTTATATATATTCCTGTCAGTGGAATTACTGGGTTAAGATGATGGATTTTTTTTAATATTAAGTGTTTTATTTGCTGCTGTCAGTTTATATAAAATAATTATTGTGAAATAGAAATTCATCAAAATACAGAGATAGATGTTAAGTAGTAACAAATATAGAAATTTAAAAATTTTTTTTAAAGATTTATTTTTATTATTTTTTTATTGGAAAGGCGTATATACAGAGAGGAGAGACAGAGAGGAAGATCTTCCGTCCGATGATTCACTCCCCAAGTGAGCACAACGGTCAATGCTATACCGATCCAGAGCCAGGAGCCTCTTCCGGGTCTCCCATGTGGGTGCAGGGTCCCAAAGCTTTGGGCCGTCCTCGACTGCTTTCCCGGGCCACAGGCAGGGAGCTGGAAGGGAAGCAGGGCTGCCGGGATTAGAAGCGGCGCCCATATGGGATGCCGGGCGTGCAAGGCGAGGACCTGTAACCACTGCTCCACCGCGCCGGGCCCGCAAATATAGAAATTTGTATATTATAGCACATGTGTTAAGGGAAGCTTTTTGTACAGGCTTCCAATTTAGCGCTCTTGAATGGATATTCACTGGATAATGAAGTGGTTCTGGAACTGTCTGGTAGATTTGTCTGACTACAGAAAGGAACAGACTTTCCAGGATCTGAAGGGATTTGTACTTGAAGGTACTCCAGTCAGCAGGGGATCATGTTGCACTTTCTGCAGACAAGTGTTTCAAGTGTGCAACTGCCTGGGACACCTTCCTGCGGTTGTTGAACCACTTTCTTCATAGTGGTGGTTACTGGAGGAACCAGACATGGCACACACACAGAGAGGGGTTGGTTCATAGATCACAGGTCGGCAGGTCAAACGATAGATATTTTGAGCCATGTGGAATATCAGGTCATTTTAAAGGGTATTTTAAAGGGTTGGTCCAGTTTGCCACCCAATTTTATAAAAATATCACATTCAAAGAAAGACACGTCTGTGGTGTTTAGCTCAGAGAACTCAAACCCAACATACTCAGAAGCTTCGCAGGCATGGCCAGCACTCATGATCACTGTCTTCACCTTCTCTTTCCCGACTTGTGACAGTAGAGACTTTCATATAGAGAATGTTCAGAGGCCAAAATGCCACTTTTATCCATACATGCTAGGAAGTACGTCCTAAAAAGCATGAGTCCCCCAGCTATCCCACTGGGAATGAAAACTGCATATGAGAGGGGATTTGTAATCCTCTGTTTACAGCAGCCCAGTCTACAATATCAAAGCTATGTAAACAACCCAGATACCCTTCCAAAGAGGAGTGGTTAAAGAAACTGTGGTACATCTACTCCATGGAATGTTACTTAGCCATTAAAAAGAATGAAATTATACCATTTGCAACTAAATGATCCCAACTAGAGATCATTATGCTCAGTGAAATAAGTCAATCCCAAAAGGACAAATACCATATGTTCTCTAATATAAAGAAACCGTCATGCAAATTTTAAGTGCAATATCCCTTTCCATATTGTTTTTACTGTATCCCATGTGTTTTGATTTTTTTTATTGCATTTTCATTTCTTCCAAATATTTTCTTTAATCTTGTCAAATTCATTGCTGGCTCATGGATTGCACAGTGGCATTGTTTTACCCAAGAGTCTTTTTTTAAAAAGGTTTATTTTCATTGGAAAGTCAGATATATAGAGATGAGGAGAGACAGAAGGAAGATTTTTCTGTCCATTGATTTACATCCCAAGTGGTCACAATGGCTGGAGTTGCATCAGTCTGAAGCCAGGAACCTGAGGCTCTTGTGGGTCTCCGACACGGGTACAGGATCCCAAGGCTTTGGGCCATCCTTGACTGCTTTCTCAGGCCATAAGCAGGGAGCTGGATGGGAAGCAGAGATTAGAACTGGCACCCATATGGGATCTTGGTGCGTGCAAGGGAACGACTTTAGCCACTGGGCTACTGCGCCAGGCCCCCAAACACTTTTGTATTTTCTTTTTGTCACCCATGTGTTGGTTATTCAGTGGAGCGTTTTCTCGACTCCATGGTGCTGTATATTTTTCATCCTCTTTTTGTTTGTTTGTTTTAACTTCATACCTGTTGTTGTCCTTGTTTCATGGCTTCTTATTTAAGGGAATGTATAGTGGTAAGACTAATAGAGACTACCATGTCCAGATGTGAAAATACAATACATCATGCATCCCTGCTTCCGAATCAAGGTTGGACTCCCAATGAAACTGTTGGACATATGTACACAATGGGATGCTTAACTGTCTGACATTGTCTGTATCAGCAATGTCAGGGCACATTTAAATAATAGACTGATGGAATTATAACTGCTTATGAAGGACTATACTATTATAACAATATGGGGAAAATTAGTTGGGGGTTGGGAATTTGGAGGAGTGGAGATTCTAGACTCTATGGAATTGTGCCATTAATTCAATATTAAAAAAAAATGGGTTCCTGGTGGCCATTTTAGACACTGTTTTACATGGTGTTAATATATTTTGGGAAGTGGAACTGAGTAAGTGTCAGAGTCATTTTCAACTTTGTGATCAGAAATGATTCCAGTAGTCCAGAAAATGTGGCCTCTCAGTTGAAAGACGCCCAAGGTGCTGGTTAAACTCCTGCAGTGCTGCATTTCAACAATCCCTCAGGGACAAGTCACCGAATTGTGAGCTCTGCAGACAGCTGTCTGATCAGGTCATTTGCTGCTGTTCATGGTGTCTCCTGGTCACTTATGTCACTCAGAATTAATGCAGTAGCCAAATGTGGGAGCTGGGTGCTGTCTGATCCATATCTCTGCTTGTCAGGGGACTTGGCGCAAGCTCTGAAAGTCTAATTCCATAACGTGCACTTGCAAAATAGTCTACTTGCTACCAGGAAACTGGTGTCTGTAATATAGTCTACTTGCCAATAGAAAACCTTAAGGCATTTTGACAGCCTTTTTAAACATTTTATTCATTATATGCTTAGTTCAAATCATTTTTATACTATATTGGATTGTGGTTAACTATGATAAGCACAGTAGCTCTTAAAGTGTTTTGTTTCACACTAATTAATGTACCCATTTATTCTTCTTTCCACACAAAATGACTTAGTACTATAAAAATTCACTGGGGTTAGAAATAGTTGCAGTCTGCATGAGTCCAACTCAGAAGTGAGGTAAGAGAAGTTGGTGTCCAGTGGTCAATGTGCTTGTCCTGAAGTGTTTAGGATGGCCTGAGCTGGAACATGGCTACTGTGTCTACAGGGTCTCCTCACCTGCAAGGGAGCTGACAGCAGCCTCTCAGATCCTTGCTGAAATGCAGGGGTGCTGAGTGAGTGTTGAGTGCTGTGACTCCCTGCTTGGCCCTCAGTGAATCTTAGCCCACTTGTGTACCGTTTTCACAGGGTGGTCCTTTTCTTTGCCTCCTTTGAGACTGAAAACCAAAGCCCAGATGGTTTTTGATATATATAAAAAAAATAGGTCATATGTGTTTTGCTCAGCTCCAAATGTGTTTTCACTTGTGTTTTTTCCTAGGACATGAAGGATCAGATGTCATCCTCATCTGTGCAGGCGTTATCTGAGAGAAGAAACAGACAGGTGAGGAAGCAGCAGCAGTGTGTCTGTCAGTCAAAAGGCACACACTTTGGCATGGCATTGCACCACCCAGCAGGTTCCTCCCCTTCCCAGGTTCCAGGGCTCCTCGGCCCCCGCAGCACAGTGCTAACACAGGGCTCTTTATTTGTGTGTTCTGTGTACCAGGCTTGCTGCCAGGGCCCTGCTTATCTAGATAAGGAGTGGGATTGTGGTGAGGTCTCTTTTTTTTCCTTAAATATCAAGTCGTTCCTACATTGCCCACCCATAGAATAATTGGACAGTTGATGATGAAATTGAACTAAAGACATTTGAGAAGTCTGTAGCATGCACATGCATTAGATTTTTTTTAAAGTTACATACTTTGGTGCTTGGTAGTAATTCCTTTCTAATTATTAAAACTATTTTTATTAATATACCAATCACCTAGAATTTACATTGATTTTAGATTACAACTTGATTCAGATTCTTTTGGTGGAGTAGAGTTTGTGTTTCCTGTTGTGAAGCCATTAAGTGATTTGTGTTAACAGAGATGGTTCTCACAAATTCTGTGGATGTCTGTTTTGTTTAGAAGAAAAGCTCCACGAGAACTATTACTTAATTCAAACGATTTGGGTTAACATCTGCTATTCTAATTCAATAAAGTTATTAAGAGTTCATTTAGTAGTCTCTTGAGAAATCAGCTCACTATTTTTATAGCTATGAATCTTTTTTCTTGAAGATTTATTTATGCATTTGAAAGAGAAAGAATCTTCCACCCTTGATTTACTCCCAAAGTGACTACAGCGGTTAGGATGGGGTGGGCCAGGCCCAACTAGCTTCATCAGCGCACCTATATGGTGGCAGGGTCCAAGTATCTGGTTCATCTTCCACTGCTTTCCCAGGCACAGTAGCTGGGGTCCGGATTGGAAGTGGAGCGTCTGAGTCCTGAACTAGCACCTACATGGCGTGCTGGTGTAGCAGCTGGTGGCTTAACCCACATGCCACAACACCTGCCCCCAGGATAAACCTACCTGTGAATATTTGTTGAGTCACTTAGTTTTGGAAGCAAGTATTATAAAAGCTTGAAGAGAAGTATTCTACAGATGCCATTCAATTCATTTTCCCATTTCCTTTCCCCACAATTCATTTTGGATGTCTTTGCTGTTTCCTTTCCTTGTCCCCTTTGCTCTCTCTTTAGGCATTACAGCTAGGAAGGGCTGTTAGCTAGCCCAAGCCCTTGCACTCAGCTCCTGCTCTCAGAAGCAGCCTAAGGACAGCCACAGCTGTCTGGGTTTGCAATTACCTTGTCACTTGCACTTTAGCCCTAACAACATCGAGTAGCCATGTCCGAGGTCCTTGGGATAGTAGTCTGAAATACATCTTCTCTGTGTCTCTGAATGTGAGTGCTTGTTCTCTTGCTAGTAGAGCTGAGCTAACACAAACAAAGGGGCATTCATGGGTTGTATCATTTCAAAGTGTGGTTTCAAGTGTGCTTTAGGCCATGAGGAATGCTGCAGTTCTATGTCCAAGGAATGTCAGGGCTAGGGTTCTCCACTTGGTTGGCAGTGCCGCCTTACTGTGCCACCAGCACACACAGGATCATCTGGTACCATCCAGACTGTTCCGTCTTGGTCCCTTTAAGAGATTCCTGGAGTTAGCCGATGAACACTAAGCAAGCTGCCTCAGGGTGAAGTACAGATGCTTGTTTATTGACTCAATTTAAGGCAGAGAAAGCTCTGCTACCTACTGGTTCACTTCCCAAATACAACAATAGGACCAGGCCAAAACTTCTGGGCTTCCAGTCCAGGTTTCCTCCATGGTGGCAGGGACTAACCGGCTGAGCTGTCTCCTGCTGCCTGCCAGGACCTGCGGTGGCCAGAAGCTGGAGTCAGGAGCCAGAGGCAGGTGTGGGACGACAGGGATTCTTAATGGCATGACATCCCCATATGTCCCATCTTTGTCAAGACCATGGCTGCTGGTGGAGCACAGTCCTCTGTCCACAGCTTTTTTCTAAGACATTATGAGGCCCATTGACAACCTTGGAGGTCACTGGAGTCTTTGGGCCAGAATGAGCAGCGTCTTCATCCAGATGCCTGGGACCAGATCAGGGCAGAACCTCCCACAGAAAGCCTTAGATCTTTTCTGTGCAAACACCTTCACATTCACCTTTGGTCTGGACTGACGATGCCATGGGCTATGGGAAGTTCTCAGGAATTTTGCCTAGCTAGTGAGACACTGCCTGTGGTACCTGCATCCCATCCAGAGTGCCTAGGTTCAAGTCCAAGCTCCATTCCCAAGTCCACCTGCCTGCTCATGCATGTCCTAGTAGGCAGGGGGTGATGGCCCCCCGTCACCCATGTGAGAGACTCAGATGGTGTTCCTGCCTCCTAGTTTCAGCCTGACCCATGCCCAGCTGCTGTGAGTATTTGGAGAGTGAACCAGCAGGTGGAAGATCTCCCTGTCTCATTCTTCATCTCACTCCCTGTTAAACAAAATAAATAAGGAATTTACTAAAGAAGCACTAACATTGTGTTAGAGATTCTTAATCCTCAGAACTTGGTGCTCTACCCTTGCCTGACTACTTGACAGGACTCACCTGAATGTGGGCTTAGTGCTAATGTGGAAGACAGCTGAGGGCTGTTGTGGGGCCTCCAGGTAGAGAGCAGTACTTGTGGTCACTGGCCAGAGGCTCAACTACACTGCAAGGAGAGAGGTGTCTGGTGGACCTTGTGCCAAGAGCAGCTAATGGAAAGGCTGTGGGGTCCTGGTCAGAGCACATGGGAGCCCAGGATGCAGATTCCTGCCTGGTCTTTTTGCGAGGAAGGTGTTCCTAGGCATATCCATTTCTAGTTCGTAATTGGGAAACCCGGCCCTGGTAACTGGAGCCTTGGTGGAGAGAGACCTCTGGTTTTGGAATCAACAGTTGCCTGTGCTGCCAGTGCTAGTCACCCCTTGTGGTCCTGCTTGCCTGGTGGAGCAACCCCAGGCACCAGCTGGGAAGCCTGCAGCCTGTGATGCAAGGTGAGGTGTTACATTCTAATCATGGCTGTGATTAGCAATCATTGCTGATTCTTGTTCCATCTGAATGTGAGGAGCTGTGACTTAGCGTCGTTCTGCTGGGGACTCCCCTTTCCTTCCTCAAAACAGAACTTCTCTGGGCCATTCCAAAAAGAGAAAGGTTCTTGATCTCCAGAGTCAGTTGGAGTAGGGCCTGGGGCTCGCTGGTAGCCTTCCAAGAGTCCTGGAGGAGCTATTGGAACGCAGGATACAGGTGCGTGTGACACACTGCTGTGCATCTCCAGGGAACAGAGGCCAGCAGGGAGGACCGGAAGGTGTTTCTCTACCTGATCTGGGGAAAGTCAGATGGTGAGACGTGTAGGTCCTCTGTTGCTAGCTCTGTGCTGTCTAACTTGTTCAGAGCCACTGCTTACTGCTCCTAACTCCAGTTGTCTCCACTTCCACAGGCACTGCTAGGAGACAGTGGCAGCCAGAGTTGGAGCAGCAGAACCCCAGATAAGTACGGGCGCCTGGACCGTGAGTTCCAGCTGGCCAACTCCCATTTCATCGAGGAACAGCAAGCACAGCAGCAGGTTCCAGGGACAGGGGCGTGGGTTCTGCCATGAGCTTGTCTCATGCTGGGCTGTCATGTGTGGACAGGGCATCCACACAGGATTTTTTTTTAAGAGTATTTAATTGTAAGAGTCACAGCAAGAGAGGGACAGACAGAGAGGTCTTCATCTGTTTGTTCATGTTCCACGTGCCACAGCAACTTGGGGCCAGGCCAGGGTGGAAACAGGAGCTCCCATGTGGGTGCAGAGGCCCAGACACTTGGGCCGCCTTCCACTGGTTCCCCCGGCCATTAGCAGGAAGCTGGATTGGAACTGGAGCAGCTGGGATTTGACCACGTGATGCTGGTGTTCCCCGTAGAGGCTCCACCCACTTTGCCACAGCTCCAGTCCCCATGCAGGATTTTAAGACTTTGGAGCACAGCTTCCTGGAGAACCAAGCTTAATTAGATCTTTGAGGAAAGGCAGCCCAGACGTCTCAACAAACTGACAAGGCTGCCAATTTAGTTTAAGTAAAACTTCTTCATAAACTGCTTCTGTAAACTCAAGTGTTTTTTGTTCAACCAAACTTTCAAAAAAAAACTCCATTTTTTTTTCATTTGAAAGTCTTAGCTGTTTGCATTGCATTTAATAGTGATTTCCCTCGGTGGACATTGAGGGGTAATATCTGATTGTGCTGTTAATGTGCCCCTGCACCAATGGCAGACACAGTGATGGCCCTGGCTGTGCCTGAATCTGCTGGCTCTTTGACAGCTGTATATGTGCCCGGGGTTGTGTGTCTCCATGTTTCTTGTCTTTTCGCATGTGTGCATATCCAGTTTTCTCCTGATGTTGCTGTTGACTAAGCAGAGTGTTTGTACAAAGTGAGGAGGGGGCACTGAAGCACTGATTGTCCCTAAGGCTGGGCTTTCCTGCTCTCCTGAGGAGTGTGGTGCACATCTGCCCAGTTTTCCTACCTCCTGGAGCTGGCGTCTCCACATTGAGACCTTGGCCTGGCAGGAGGCTTCTTCCTCCCCGACATGCCCATGTCTCGTAATGATCTGCAGGTATGCTTTCAGTTTTGCCTGCTCCCCCATGGAACTGAGTCAGCCAGAGCCACCACCTGCTCCGGGTTGGGCCAGCAGGAAGGCTCTGGCTGCACTTATCAGCTTCTCCAGCAGAGTGCTGTCCCTGGCAGTGGTCTGGCTTCTGAATGGGAATTGTCCCGAGCTGCTGGCGTGCTGGGCTGCAGACCAGGTAAGATGGGTCCTAGTTGCTTATTTCCTGTCTTTCTGGTGCAGCTGATCGTGGAGCAGCAGGATGAGCAGTTGGAGCTGGTCTCTGGCAGCATTGGGGTGCTGAAGAGCATGTCGCAGCGCATCGGTGGGGAGCTGGAGGAGCAGGCAGTGTGAGTACTGAGAGGCCCACTTGCTGTAGGGCACTGCCAAACCATCCTGGGGGGACCTTGAAAGCCTGCCCATCATGTGGCCAGTGAAATCAAAACAGCTTGTTCATGGCCAGTTTTGCTCTGCTTTACAGACTGTCCTTCCTAAAAAGCAGATCTTAGTTTACAGCAGGTAGTTTAGGGAGCTCCGGACTCAGGTGCACACTCCTCTGAAACCTGGCGTGTTTCTGTGCATGGGAATGTAACCTCTGTGTGGGACCCATGTGGAGGGAGAGGTGGTATCTTCTTGGACCCTCTTGCTACTTGGAGAAAAGCATTGCTTGATATCTTAAATTGTAACTTTATGGAAAAGTTACAAATTTACTTCTAACAAGAAAACCCTCTCTCTCAAAATGGAAACCAGAGACCATACCTTGAGTCTTTTTCCTTAAGAACAGTCGTTTAGGGTGAAGATGACAGCAGAAAGAACATCTGTAAGTGCTGCCTTATAATACCTTAGCCATCTGCACATTTTTTCTGGGGGAGAAGGCGGCAGGCCAGAATAGCTCAGATGCTCTCCTGAGTCTGCTTACTACTGTACACGCATGTGGATGTCACCTCACCTGCCCAGGGACAGGAGGCTCAGTCAGTATACACTGCCTCCACCATTTGCTGCACAGATGTCCCATGAACAGGCATGTTACAAAGAGACATTTGTGCCAGGTGCTGTGACCAGGCTGGAGCTGCTGAGCCTAGGGTCCTGAGAAAGAGGGACTTTAGTTCAAAACTAAAGTGTGTGTGGATGACAGCAAAGTGAGACTGGGGAGGGTAGAAGCCAGAGGATGGAGGTGCTTGTGGTTGTCTATACCTTGTGTATACCATGGCTGTTCTGGGAAGGCCCATTTTCCTGTGATCTGAACAGTGGACTGAAATTGGGCAGGCCAAAACCAAGTCTGAAGCTGGAATTGCACACATCGAATTTCTGTCCCAATGAATTTGACCCTGAGGTTCAGGGTTTGAGGCTTGAGCTGCTCTGTTGGTGAGGCAGCTGGATATGTGGTCAGTTATAGGTCCTCAGAGACTTCAGTTAGAGGCAGGATTTAGCGTATCCTCAGCTCTGGCCTCCCTAGAGCCCATGGAGCAGTATTTAGAGGAATGAAACCTGTGGAGACTCAGCATGGAATAAAAAACATCTTTTATCCCAGAAAGCACAGAGCTAAGTGGCCATGAACAGTAGACCACAGAAAGCTGAGGTTGAACCAATGCTGTGGTTGTCAGAACCCTGAGCTGTAGTAAGGCGTGAGAGCTAACCTTCCACGCTGACACTCTTGAGGGTGCAGGGGTGCGGCTGACACAGAGCTGGGTCTTGGCCTGGCCACGCTGACACTCTGAGGGTACAGGGATGGGGCTGAGCCTCCTGCTGTCTAGTGCATAGACATGGGGGGTGAAGGCAATCCTACAGATGGAGTGAAGGTGCTAGACAGTCCTGCCACAGGATGGGGAACAGCTGCTCTGTGTCTCCAAAATAGAGATCTCCGGTCAGAGCAGATGAAAGGGAAACTATGGGATACTGGGCAGCAGGGCTCTGCCTGACCTGGGGCCTACTTCCTGTCCCACTATGTGCTGCTGGACTTTCCAAAACTCTGCATTTCTGAACTCTGCACAGCTCTAAGCCCACCTTTGTGGTCCTTAGCATTTTCCATGCAGACATGTTAGTTTGTTTTCAATCATTACCCCAGGCTCTGCTGCTTGCATCCACTCTAAGAACAAACACAGCATCACCCTCAGTCCGTCCATCTGTCCTGTGCCAAGAATGCTGGGTAGTGGATCGAGGCCTTGGCCATCACTTAGCAGCTGTGCACTGCTGAGGCTCTGTGCTCACCACCTGCCCTCTGTGTCTTTCTTCAGCATGTTAGACAGTTTCTCACATGAGCTGGAGAGCACTCAGTCTCGTCTGGACAATGTGATGAAGAAGCTTGCCAAGGTGTCTCACATGACCAGCGGTAGGTATGGTGTCTAGACTTGATTCTGAAACCTCTGTGTGTGGGGTTCCCTTAGGAGTGCCTCAGCAAATATTCCTGGCGCACGGTGCTAGCCAGGCCATAGGGTTCACGTGCCAGGCCTGGTCTTGAGTGTGCCACCTTAATTTGGGAGAGGGTCTGTGTGCTCCTGCCACTGTTTGCCACTCTTGCTCCAAGAGAACATCATCTGCTTCTTCATATTTCCCTGCCAAAGGATGGAGCTTACTTAGAGTAGTAATGAGTTACAAAGCCAGCACTGTCTCATAAATGAAGAAATGTCTGCAGGTGCAGAATAAGATGGTCTTATGGATCTCACTGTGAAATAATCGGGGGAAATTGTATCTTGATGTGGATGAATAAGTTACAAGTTAGTTACTGTGTAGCAAGGTACACTATCACTCTTTATCTTATTCATTTATCTGTGTGGTTGGGAGGCATAGAGAGTGCTGTTAGGTACTCACTCTCTAAATGCCAGTAGTGGCCTTGTGGGGCCAGGCTGAAGCTGGGAGCTAGGAACTCAATCCAGGTCTCCATTGTGGCTGGCAGGGACCCCATTCCTAGAGCCCCACCTGCTGCCTGTCCGAATGCACAGTAAGAGGGAATAGAAAGTGTGTCTGCAAATGGAACCTCTGGACCTGGATGGGAGATGAGGATATCCCAGGTGAGATGCTTCCCCCTTTTATCTTTTGATTATGATAGTATGCAGGAAGGTGTGTTTTAGATCAGAGAAAATCTGGTCTCTCCTTGAACCGGTGCAAGCGCCCCAGGCAGGAGGAACTGAGTCTTCTTAGACCTTGGGACCATTTCCACATCAGGAGGTCCCATCTCCTGGTTCTGTTTCCAGGTACAATTACAAGGGTCACCTAGCTGAGCTGTCTGAGGAAGATTTAAATACATAGGAAGGGGTGTTATGGGGCAGCAGGTTACATACTGCATGCGATTCCTGATTTTGTGTTGGAGCACCTGGCTGCAGTGCTGACCCTTCCGTGTGCTGCCCACCTTCCTGCTCCTGGGTGCAGCACGTGATCCTCCTCTGAGATGAGAGACCAGAAAGAGTTCCTGGCTCCTGGCTTCAGCCTGGAGCTATTGCTTGTATCCGGGGAGTGAACTAGCAGATGGAAGGTCCATCTCTTTCTCCCCATTTCACTCTCTGTCTCTGCCTCTCAAATAAATGTCTTTGAAAAGTAAATACATGTGCATCTTTGCTCTCCAGCAGTGTAGCTCAAATCCAGTTACAAAGCGCTTAATGGGATTTAGTTTCCTGCCTATAGACTCTTGAGAATTAAATAATAGTAATGTAAGAGAGTTTGATGGAATATGTCATTTATTAAGTTTGTAATTGTTGAGAAAAAGGCAAAATGGCAAATGGTCCTTGGGATAGACAGCTTGTTACACGTGCTCCAGGCGTAGGCAGCCTCATAGCTGCTTTTCACTGCCTGAGGCCTGCTGGTTCACCTTTATAGAGGGTGTTCCAGGTTCTGTCTTCACCCACCCCCAGGCCTCTACTTAACAAACAAAAAAAGCTGCTGCTGATGCCTCAGATCCATTACAGGTCTCTCCCTGTGTCAGTTGCAAAGGTAGGACAGAGCTGTTCTCAGCATCCTGGTGTAAGCAGCTTGGCTTTTCATTTTATCTTCTTTTCCTGGTAATATGCATCCCAGTGTCTTCTGTGCTGTCCACCGCTAGATTCTCACTTCTTCCACAGTGTTGAGCAGGTTTCACTGTCTGGATATGCCATATGAGGGGGGAAGCTCAAACCGCTGGGTGTTCTGAAAACCTTGGCTGTTACCAGGCTCTGTGTGTATAATGTGTTTCCTGTGCAGGCATACCTGTGCTGAACTGACTTGTAGATACAAGAAGGTCTTGTTCTGTCTACAAGAAGGTATTAGTAACTAGTAACAAAATAGAATGAATCCAGCATTATCCTGTAATGAATGTCATGTGGGTGTGGTCTCCCTGCCCCCCCCCCCCCATGTCTTGTGATGGCATGTGCTGAGTTTGATTTCAGTGCTGTAAAGCAGTTTTGAGCTCTTGCATCAGTCATGTCAGTGTCTGACACCAGGACAGTCCACACGAGGCTGGACAGTGTGTACAGCACAGGCACACTGGGCAAAAGATGGCTTTTTGCCCTAGCATGGTGTAGGATTTAAAACGTGGATATTCTTTGTTTCTAGAGTTTTCCACATAATATTTTAAAACTGTGTTGCCTAGATGAGTCACTAAAAACCACTCAAATGCGGGAGATACTGCTCTTGTCCACATGCGTACTGAGTTATATTGAGACCATCCTTAGTGTCCATATTTACAGAGACATCTTCTGTAGATGTCCTTGTGCAGATGTCTGAACTCAGTGAATCCACCTAACCTGAAGTAGGACTGGCGGGTGAAGAAAGGGTGTTCAGATTCCAGAGAAGTGGCCAGGCCATCCTTTACATCACACTCCTTCTTGGTAGCTTGTGGCCTTGGAATGCTGGGTGTTGGCTTTCCTGGGGGTGTCTCTGTGAATGTTCTCTCATGCTTTGGGCCCCTCTCAGTCCTGTCCTGGTGGGCTCTCTGCACACTTTGCATCGTAGAAGTTTCTTGTTCATTTTGGCAACATTTGCCAATCAGATATGTCTTTATGAGTGTTGTTCCTGACTCAGGGTTGCATCCTCACACTCTTGACAGCATTCATTGCAGAGCAGTTTCGTTGCTAATCAGTTACTCATTTCATGGCTCATGGCTGAAGCATCACCATGCCCAGGATCACCTAGGACTTGTCCTGTGTTTTAACTCCTAACGTTCCAGTGCCAGCCCCATGATTTTGCTTTTTATGCTTAAATCTGCAATCTATTTTGAGTTAATTCTGTGAAGGATGTAGTGTCTGCTTATGGATGTTGGGTATTTCAGCATCGTCTGTTAAAAGACTCTTGTGTGGCCATGGCTGCATTCTGAGTTCCATTTGCTCCTTCAGTCTGTGTCTGCCGGCAGCATGCTGTCTCAGTTATCTTCGCTGACATTATCATAGAGTCTTGTCCTCATTTGTTCCCCAGTTTAGTGGGTTTTCGAAGTCAGATCTTCAAGCTGAGCCATATATGTTGTTTTTCTTTTTATTCTTTTCCAGAACTCCATGTCTGCTTATACTGTTCATCTTTTCATGTAGGATCTATGCTTTCCACAAGAGCTCTTTGCATTCTAATGTGACTTCTGGAACTCCTGTTCTGACAACTCCTCGTTTCTGCCAAGTCTGACATTGGTTCTGACATTTGCTAGTTGGACCTTCCAGGTTGTCTTGTAATTCCTGGGCACAAATTGTGGTAAATGATCCTTGGTGGTATGGTGGGCATGGCCAGCAGGGTCCTTGGTCGTATCATGGCCAGAGCAGGCAGTGGCAGTTGTGACTCATCGGTCCTGCGCCGAGCCTGTGAGCCTCAGCATTGCTGCCCTGTGTTTGCTGCAGGGTGAGTAGAATCTTCTGGAATGAATGATTTTGGCCATTTCCCCCCTCCCAGCCAGCTAGGCTGTGTGGTTAAATCTGCTACTGATGCAGGCCTGCTGACAGAGCATTCTGATACCGCCAGAAGCACATGGGCAGCCCCTTGAGGTGAGACTCTCAAATGTCCCAACCCCTACCCCAGCCGCCTGACTGCCTGGAGCTGCAGCTCCAAGGCTCCCCCTGAGCTTCAGCCATTGCTCATAACTGAGCCCTGGTCCCAAGGCTTCACTGCTGGTGCCCTCTGCTCTGCCATGTCAGTATTCTTGGTTTAGAAGGTCTCAGTGACCCAGCAGCAGTGGGTTGTCCTGTTACCTCCTTCCTCAAACAGGTCTGAGGAGAGTCGTGTGTCAGCACAGAGTGGTGACAGCCAAGCCACTTGTGTGCTGGGCCGTGGACAGCTGTGGACAAAAGTGGACAGCTGCAGTATTTTCTAGGGAAGCCACTCTGCCCCCTCTCTTTGTCACAGTCCTGATGGTGGAAGAGCTGAATAGGCAGGAGTGAGTCCCCACCATGGGTTTACTGAAGGGGCCTTTGGCACGGCTGAGGCAGAGGGATCATTCAAAAGAAATTTTGGGGTTGAAACTGGCCAGCAGTCCCCAAGGTCACTCACAGTTAGATGACGATGTTCTTCAGCCATAAGAACCACTGGAAACAAGCTGGTGAAGAATGTTCATTTATTCAGCACAAATTCCATAGTTTTAAAGGTTAAGGAAGGGAAGGGCAGGAGGACATCTCCCGGCAGTCTCCCCACCCGCCAAAGACACTATAATTGGCTAGAAGATATGTCTATTTCCCTTGCCCTCCTGGTCATGTCAGAGGTCATGTGAGAGATTCCACGTATATTCCCCTTGAACTTCTAGTTAGGGTTACGTTGCAGGTCACACTCCATATGTAGGGCTGGAAGCTGTGCCTCAGGTCATGGGGAAGTAAGCTCTAAGCTACATCCATCAGGTAGCAGGCCAGGGGTGATCGTGCACAAAGAAAGCCTTGGCCCTGCTGTTCCTGGTTTGGTGACATTTCTCTCACTGGTTCTCAGACCAGTCATGCTGAGCACCTATTTGTGTGTGTGTGTATCTCTCATAGGCATCTCTTATAGACTGCCTATAGCTGTAGCTGAGATGTGCTAAGTCTATAGGATATAAAATAAACATTTATAAAGCCATATTCCTGTATTTCTGTGTAAGCAGAGCACCTTTTCCTCATGGTTGACTGCATTTTTGTAGGCAGTGGGATTTCTCTGTGGGGGAGCCCATTTGTTCTTTCTACATGCCCCCACCCCATGAGGAACCCTTTGTTGTATGGTAGACATTTTCGTCTGTTGGTGACCACGTGCTCCGTGCTCGGTTTGGCAGTGCTGTTCAGTTCTCATACCAGGTGCTGCCAAGTTAGGGACATGGTCAGGGCCTCACCTCTGGTGACCACATGAATAGACTCTGGCCACTCTGTCTGCTGTGCTTTGCTGCTCAGATCATTGGTCATCAAGCAGGAGGTCTCAGCAGAGATGTCAGCTCTCACTCTGCGTGACTGAGTGGCACCTTCCTTCTTTCTGGGCTGGGTGTTAGGGGTTCCAGCTGCTGTTTCCTAAGGGACTGGCAGTGTCATTGTGTGGAGCTCGTGGGGTTCCTGTGGAGTCAGAGTACCTGGCTGTGGTGAGAGCTTTGAACATGCAGGCTGTGGGATATGTAACAGCAGAGCCACTCTTACCTCCAGCCCTGGCTGGACACACCAGCACCCAGGCAGGGTCACGATGCAGGCCCAATCATTTGCACATCTTCCCTGTTCTGCCTGCTGTAAATCCTATGTCCCTGCATGTTGGGGTGTTGAAGCCCTGGAGAGCTGACCCCGTTGTCCTGCCTTCCAGATCGGCGCCAGTGGTGTGCCATTGCTGTGCTCTTTGCAATCCTGTTGGTTGTGCTGGTCCTCTTCCTCGTGCTGTGACTGAGGCCTCAGCCAGGAGCCCTTGCTGCATGTGACCGGCAGGGAGTGGGAGAAGCCAGCCCACCAACTGTCCTCCTTCCCTTCCTGGACACACCTGTGCACACATGCCTTTGTCCAGCCTCCCCATGTGACCTCAAAGCTCAGCTCCTCCTGGACATGTTTGCCCAGCCTCATCATGTGACTCCACAATTCAGCTCCTCCTGGACATACCTCTACCCAGCCTCACCATGTAACTCCACAGCTCAACTTCTCATGGACACACCTCTACCCAGCCTCCCTATGGACACGCGTCTACCCAGCCTCCCGTGTGACCTCACAGTCAGCTCCCCTGGACACGCCTCTGCCCTGACTCCTTGTGTGGCTGTGATGCAGATGGCTCCTCCATCATAGTGCCAGGGGAAAGAGGAGTGAGGAGACGGCACCCTAAATGGTGGAGCCCCATGCCTGCACTGCTCTGAGGACAACAGCCACTGCCTAACCTTGCCTGACCTGGCTCCTGAGGAGGCTCCGAGTAGGCCTGTCCCGTGCTGTCTTCTCTGCAGCTGCTCTTGGCTCCCACTGTTCCTGCTCCAGAGAACCTGCGGGTACTTCAGGCCACTTGCTGTGCTTTGTCTCCACTGCTACAGCTTCCTTAGCCTATGTGTAAAAGGCCCAGAGAGGTCACTTTCCAGGGATCAGTACGGAGATGAACTGTTTTAGGTGCATTTCTTGTGGTGGGATTAATGAGTGGAAAATAATGAAGCACTCCAAGTTTGGGGTTCTGAAGACGTGAGTTCTGGTTGATGGGACCTCCCTGGATGCAGGTTGGGGAGAGCTGGCGATGTCATTGGATGTGAGGGCTAGTGTCTCAGTGACCACCAGGATGTCCAGGGCCTGGCCAGGTAGGAAGCAGAGTCCTCTTGGTCCCCCGCGTGGTGGGAGTGAAGCTGTGTCTGTGTATATTGCCTTGATTTACAGAGGGTGAAGATGAAAAGTGTGGTTTGGGACCAGACCTAGGCTGCATGTGACAGTGAGACTGGGGAGGTGGACTGGGCTTGCTTTTTCTCTAGATGACAGCTGGATTTTACGCATTCAGACTACTGAGCCAGCCCAGACCTAGGTTGAAACTGCGGGGACACAAAGCTTTGGCCTCTGACTTTTTGGATGCACTCAAGTAGGAGATATTTTTGTAGCTTCCTTCACATTGAGTGGCAGCTCGGCTGGAGCCAGAGCTCAGCTCTGGAGGCTGCTGGTCTTGCTTCCCCAGCGTCTGGATAGAGTTCTTGTCTCATCTTGTCTTTCTGGGTGCCCTCCCTCACACACTAACTTTGTTCTTTTTTCTTTTTCTCATTTTGTTTGTATTTCTCGTGGCGTTGTTTTGGGACCTTCTTTTCCCTTTTATATGATTTGCTATCATGTGCTCGCCCAGCTAACTTTTGAATCGCACTTTTAAATAAACATTGTGACAATTTTGTAAGAAGGATATTTTATTTTGTTTAGGATTTTGGTAAGTCTGGGAGTCTGCCAATGGAAGAAAGCTGAGGGGAAGTTAACCCTGTACGTATGGTGAGCACTGACATTGGACGGTGCTTCTTCCACACTAGGGGCTGAGTGGGGCCCTGGGTTGTCTACACAACTTTAACTCACTCTGAACACTTCCTGTCAGGTCTTGTATTTGCACTAGAATGTCAGATGTGACTGTTATCTCAGTACTGGATCCACACAATATGTTAACAGGACACCACAGGCATCGGAGAAGGAAAACTGCTACAGCTGCTGTTGGTTGGTGAGGAGTGTGCTGCTGTCAGCCCTGCAGGGTGTCCTGTCGGTCCAGGGACCACCTTGTGTGACCCTGGAAGAAGGAAATGAACTGGAAACAGGCCACCATGCGCTCCTGCCCCTGGCCAAGGCTGCTGTGCCCAGGGTGTGGTGAGCATGGGTCACCACAGACCCATGCTCCTCTCTGGCTCTGGGAGGTCCCCTACAATGGTTGCAGTTCTTCCTGTTGGTATTGGGGTCTTTGCCCAGGCCCTGGTCCTTATCCTGTTCAGTTGCCATGAGCTGTGGAAGGCGGTGGTTCACAGAGGAGGGGCTTGCTTTACAGAAGCAGGTTGAAGTGGGTGCTGGACAGGCATGGACCATCGAGAGACTAGGCTGGAATGTGAACTACTGGAAACCACAGCCGCTGTTCCTTCAGCATTCACCCCTGATCTCTGGTGGGATTTTTGTGGGCTGTGAGTGACCGCCAGCCTGGGCATCCCTGGACCCTGTGGCCATTGTCAGTGTATGTGTCCCACGAGATCTACCATTTCAGAATTCATACCAGGGCTGAAGTGGAAGTGGGGTACCCTGCTCTGCTCACTGTTCTTTACCTGTGGCCAGCATCAATGGTTGTGAGGAGAAATTCAGGTAAACTTGGCAGAACTTGTCTGCTGAGTGTCCTGCCTTCTGGGAATGATGCTGGCAAAGCCAGGTTTTTCTCTGATAATTTCCCTGGCCACAAAGTGAGACAATGGGATGCCTCTTCCCTGTCTCTTTTTATTTATGTTTAAAGATTTATTTGCTTGCTTGCTTATTTGAAGGGCAGAGTGGTAGAAAGAGGGGAGGGGAGAGAAAAAGATCTTGCATCTACTGGCTAATACTCTCTCAGCATCAGCAACGGCAAGATCTGGTCCAGGCTGAAGCCAGGAGTTCTATGTGTGCCTCCTACAAGGTGTCAGTGTTCCAGCTGGTGCCTCCCCAGAGCATCATCTGTCTTCTATCATGATGCAGGTCCTTCCCTCTTAAGCTTTCTGAGAATTTACTGATGCAAGTGGCTAAATCCTTGCCTTGCATGCACCAGGATTTCATATGGTGTTGGTTCATGTCCTGGCTGCTCCACTTCCCATGGAGTTCCCTGCTTATGGCCTGGAAAAGCAGTAGAGGATGATCCAACACTTTGGGACCCTGCACCTGCCTGGGAGACCTGGGGAAAGCTCCTGGCTCCTGGCTTAAGATTGGCTCAGCTGTGACCATTGTGGCCACTTGAGGAGTGAACCAGCAGGTGGAAAATCTTTGTCTCCTCTCTATAAATCTGTCTTTCCAAGAAAAATCTTTAAAAAAATTAACAGGCTTCCAATGTCATTAGCTACTCCCTCATCTGTGGAGCTGAAGGTTCTGCAGAAAACTCAGGTCTGAAGCCTGGAACACCCTACCTCTCATTACCTTTGTTTTCTATTGCCAGCATATTTTTCTCTCCTGGCTTTATCTACGAGGTTGTGGGGATGCCACCATGCCCTTGCCTGCAGTGCACCCAACCTCAGGCTGTCACCACCCTGGTGACCAATTGCTCCCTGAGGCCCCAAGCTCCTGGCTGCAGGCACTACACTCTCCTGGCTGGCGTGGGAAGAAGAGATGGTTTTTCTTCAGTGCACAGCTGCTCTTTAACCCTTGTCCCAGTCTTCTAGAAGGCTGCAGACTGAGGGAGGGGTTGGACATTAGGTTTGAGAATCCTGGGCAATGCTGTCGAAGTGATGAAAAGTCGCTGGAGTGCCTCGTGCCCTTGGCCATGAAGAGGTAGGCGTCTCCAGGGGTTGGGGGGCTGGCCAAAGCGGCAGTCTCTTGTAACCTGCTGGGTGCTCAGACTCTAGCAATGAGGCTGGCAGTGCCCCTGAGTCCATCCCTGGAGCATCAAGGACTGGGAAAGGAAGATATCCCTGCATAGGGTTAGGGTTAGGGTTAGGGTTAGGGTTAGGGTTAGGGTTAGGGTTAGGGGTTAGGGGTTAGGGGTTAGGGTTAGGGTTAGGGGTTAGGGTTAGGGTTAGGGTTAGGGGTTAGGGGTTAGGGTTAGGGTTAGGGTTAGGGTTAGGGTTAGGGTTAGGGGTTAGGGTTAGGGGTTAGGGTTAGGGTTAGGGTTAGGGTTAGGGTTAGGGTTAGGGTTAGGTTAGGGTTAGGGTTAGGGTTAGGGTTAGGGTTAGGGTTAGGGTTAGGGTTAGGGTTAGGGTTAGGGTTAGGGTTAGGGTTAGGGTTAGGGTTAGGGTTAGGGTTAGGGTTAGGGTTAGGGTTAGGGTTAGGGTTAGGGTTAGGGGTTAGGGTTAGGGTTAGGGTTAGGGTTAGGGTTAGGGTTAGGGTTAGGGTTAGGGTTAGGGTTAGGGTTAGGGTTAGGGTTAGGGTTAGGGTTAGGGTTAGGGTTAGGGTTAGGGTTAGGGTTAGGGGTTAGGGTTAGGGTTAGGGTTAGGGTTAGGGTTAGGGTTAGGGTTAGGGTTAGGGTTAGGGTTAGGGTTAGGGTTAGGGTTAGGGTTAGGGTTAGGGTTAGGGTTAGGGTTAGGGTTAGGGTTAGGGTTAGGGTTAGGGTTAGGGTTAGGGTTAGGGTTAGGGTTAGGGTTAGGGTTAGGGTTAGGGTTAGGGTTAGGGTTAGGGTTAGGGTTAGGGTTAGGGTTAGGGTTAGGGTTAGGGTTAGGGTTAGGGTTAGGGTTAGGGTTAGGGTTAGGGTTAGGGTTAGGGTTAGGGTTAGGGTTAGGGTTAGGGTTAGGGTTAGGGTTAGGGTTAGGGTTAGGGTTAGGGTTAGGGTTAGGGTTAGGGTTAGGGTTAGGGTTAGGGTTAGGGTTAGGGTTAGGGTTAGGGTTAGGGTTAGGGTTAGGGTTAGGGTTAGGGTTAGGGTTAGGGTTAGGGTTAGGGTTAGGGTTAGGGTTAGGGTTAGGGTTAGGGTTAGGGTTAGGGTTAGGGTTAGGGTTAGGGTTAGGGTTAGGGTTAGGGTTAGGGTTAGGGTTAGGGTTAGGGTTAGGGTTAGGGTTAGGGTTAGGGTTAGGGTTAGGGTTAGGGTTAGGGTTAGGGTTAGGGTTAGGGTTAGGGTTAGGGTTAGGGTTAGGGTTAGGGTTAGGGTTAGGGTTAGGGTTAGGGTTAGGGTTAGGGTTAGGGTTAGGGTTAGGGTTAGGGTTAGGGTTAGGGTTAGGGTTAGGGTTAGGGTTAGGGTTAGGGTTAGGGTTAGGGTTAGGGTTAGGGTTAGGGTTAGGGTTAGGGTTAGGGTTAGGGTTAGGGTTAGGGTTAGGGTTAGGGTTAGGGTTAGGGTTAGGGTTAGGGTTAGGGTTAGGGTTAGGGTTAGGGTTAGGGTTAGGGTTAGGGTTAGGGTTAGGGTTAGGGTTAGGGTTAGGGTTAGGGTTAGGGTTAGGGTTAGGGTTAGGGTTAGGGTTAGGGTTAGGGTTAGGGTTAGGGTTAGGGTTAGGGTTAGGGTTAGGGTTAGGGTTAGGGTTAGGGTTAGGGTTAGGGTTAGGGTTAGGGTTAGGGTTAGGGTTAGGGTTAGGGTTAGGGTTAGGGTTAGGGTTAGGGTTAGGGTTAGGGTTAGGGTTAGGGTTAGGGTTAGGGTTAGGGTTAGGGTTAGGGTTAGGGTTAGGGTTAGGGTTAGGGTTAGGGTTAGGGTTAGGGTTAGGGTTAGGGTTAGGGTTAGGGTTAGGGTTAGGGTTAGGGTTAGGGTTAGGGTTAGGGTTAGGGTTAGGGTTAGGGTTAGGGTTAGGGTTAGGGTTAGGGTTAGGGTTAGGGTTAGGGTTAGGGTTAGGGTTAGGGTTAGGGTTAGGGTTAGGGTTAGGGTTAGGGTTAGGGTTAGGGTTAGGGTTAGGGTAGGGTTAGGGTTAGGGTTAGGGTTAGGGTTAGGGTTAGGGTTAGGGTTAGGGTTAGGGTTAGGGTTAGGGTTAGGGTTAGGGTTAGGGTTAGGGTTAGGGTTAGGGTTAGGGTTAGGGTTAGGGTTAGGGTTAGGGTTAGGGTTAGGGTTAGGGTTAGGGTTAGGGTTAGGGTTAGGGTTAGGGTTAGGGTTAGGGTTAGGGTTAGGGTTAGGGTTAGGGTTAGGGTTAGGGTTAGGGTTAGGGTTAGGGTTAGGGTTAGGGTTAGGGTTAGGGTTAGGGTTAGGGTTAGGGTTAGGGTTAGGGTTAGGGTTAGGGTTAGGGTTAGGGTTAGGGTTAGGGTTAGGGTTAGGGTTAGGGTTAGGGTTAGGGTTAGGGTTAGGGTTAGGGTTAGGGTTAGGGTTAGGGTTAGGGTTAGGGTTAGGGTTAGGGTTAGGGTTAGGGTTAGGGTTAGGGTTAGGGTTAGGGTTAGGGTTAGGGTTAGGGTTTAGGGTTAGGGTTAGGGTTAGGGTTAGGGTTAGGGTTAGGGTTAGGGTTAGGGTTAGGGTTAGGGTTAGGGTTAGGGTTAGGGTTAGGGTTAGGGTTAGGGTTAGGGTTAGGGTTAGGGTTAGGGTTAGGGTTAGGGTTAGGGTTAGGGTTAGGGTTAGGGTTAGGGTTAGGGTTAGGGTTAGGGTTAGGGTTAGGGTTAGGGTTAGGGTTAGGGTTAGGGTTAGGGTTAGGGTTAGGGTTAGGGTTAGGGTTAGGGTTAGGGTTAGGGTTAGGGTTAGGGTTAGGGTTAGGGTTAGGGTTAGGGTTAGGGTTAGGGTTAGGGTTAGGGTTAGGGTTAGGGTTAGGGTTAGGGTTAGGGTTAGGGTTAGGGTTAGGGTTAGGGTTAGGGTTAGGGTTAGGGTT